GGACGAATTTTTTGATGATCATAAAATATGAATCCTGATACCCACACTGCACTGTAACGTTAATCAACGTGTTACAATTTTACTATAACTTTAAAAAGGACTCTATGAATCTTTGAATAACGCTTACGATTTCAAAGTAATTATTTCACTAGTTCTAGGAGTATTTAAACGTTGGAGTAACAAAACTGAGCCTACTTTTAAACCAAATATAAGTGTAACAATGTTTTAATTAGTAATATAAATAGAAAAAAATTCAGGGAAACCTAGTGGTAACCTATTACTTAACAATGAAAAGTATCAAATCAATGAAAATTTGTTTTTACATAGTCTATTAAGAGAAGAAAATAATACCAAATCGCAGAATTCTAATTATTTTCGCACCTTTATTGTATTGGGAAACCGGAAACGATAAAATACATTTTTGCAATTCATAGTATTAGTTACGTTCTCAGGTACAATTTTAAATTCATAAGTTCAAAACCTTGGATAACGAAAATGTAGTAAATATGCAATAACAACAAAAATTGTAAACGGTATAGGTAGTATACAATTAATGTGTTTAGGCCTGTCTTAAATTTTTTATTTCTTTTGTACAGCGTGTTAAATGTTTAATTATTCTTTTTATTACTTTTGCACTGATACTCCCACTTGCAATAAAAATAACAATAATAATAATTTGTGTCTTCCTTCAGATAACATGACATTAAAACATTGACATTTCGTGCTAGTTGAAAATAATTCAAGTTTATTTTACAATTCACATTTAATATATGCAAATGGTATTCTAGCGATAGAGCAATATAACTTTTACGTTTATTTTATAAAGTTTGTATTATGTTTTAAAGTTTAAAGTTTTCGTGTACATACCGTTTCGACCAACAGTGATATAGTATATTTCAAACAGATACAGAGATGTTTCAAACTCGACTTAATTTGTTCTGAAGGAAAACAGGTATGTAGTGAATAAATGTAAAACACACCGGGTTATTCCTGCAATAAATTTTAAAATTTCTGAACATTAGCTGCATTAAAATGATACAAAATCTGTGAAATTTGTTAATACGTGGGTATATATTATCTATTCATTTTTTTTTTATACTTCGCACCGACTTTGATATATGACGAAAATAGGCTCATAATGACTTACAACTTCAGTAAAATATGTACATACCCGTCGCAAAAAAAAACATTCATGAAAATTATTCTCCTCTTTTCATATGCAAATTTGGCTTGAATTTTCTATTCACACAAGATTGATTGCACCCCGGAAAAAACATCTTTCAGTTGACAATGAGCGCAATCAGACTAATTAATTTAAATTTTATTCAGCCATAACAAATGTTTGATTTGTGCCAATTTTTTATGTAAGTAAAAAACAATGGAATCCTTTAACGTAATTCCTGCCGACTATTACCAGATAAAGTAAATTCTGCACCTCGACCGATAATTAAGTGTAATAATACGAACAATGGTCTAAAAAATGACGTTAGACAAATTAGAACCTACCCACTCTACTGCACTCTTCGACTAAGCGATGTATTCATTTGTAACAAAAGACTGCTATATGGGCCGGTTTAAGTATGTACTATATGCTAAAACATAAAAATAACAGCAAAATTTCAAGGATTTTGTCCTGTTTTTAAGTTATATTAAAAAGTTAAAATGTTAAGGCATTTCGGCCATATTTAAGGTATTTTTAAAATAGTTCAAGTATACCTAAATAAAGATGGATTATTATAGTTTCCAATTGATTTAGTATTATTTAATCAACAACGAAAAGTGTCAAAATTTTCTAGAATAACTCTGTTGACATAAACAAAATCAAATTCTTTTATTTCTACTTTATTTCTAAGTTCTTCAGTTTTAATATCTCTCCGAAATATTTAAGACCATTCTTCATAGAATTCTATTATTTAACCTTCGCAATCACATAAGTGAAACCCAACGTGGATTTCTTAGTGGTCGCTCAACCAATTTGGACCCAAGATCTTTGATAATAAGCACCGAGTCGATGTAATCTGTACGGATTTTTCGAAAGTCTTCAACAAGCCGAGTCACGAGATCTTGCTGGTGAAGCTGCTGAATATTGGCATATCGGGTCATCTAGTTCAGCTAATTTATTTTTATTTGGCATCAAAATTTCAGCATATGAATCCGATAAAGTCTCGGTAACCTCTGGGGTTCACCAGGGGCGTACTTTAGGTCCTCTTCTTTTGCGTATTTTTATTAACGATTGTCAAAGATATTAAATTTGAAGTTTTGATGGGCATGCAGAGAACTTTTAGATTTTGCGGCGTATTTCATCTGTAAGTTATTTTCCGAAACTCCAGGAAGATATTAACGGCTTTCTGGGTGAATGTACAATGAAACCAAAACAACACGGAACTATTTCCTGGCGTTCCAGCTGATGTTAATGGTGTCTTTCGGTATATAAGTGGAATATTGTACCTTTTTAACAAAGAACAATAGTAAAGCAATTTTATACGAATATGACGAATTTTCAAATACCTTAATAAAAGCTGGTCCACTTGATTTCAGTAATTTCAATATTCATTGTCCGAATTTAAGTACATTGGAACAACTGGAAACGGATTAAAAAATACACTTCTTAGAACAACACACTATAGAAATGAAATATTTTTTTATTTAAATTTTATTGGTACTTTTTTCTTGTCTGGAATTTAGATTTTGATTATGGGTATGTTGGAAAAATTTTTTTTTTTTGGTATAGGGGACAATTAAAATGAGAACACACTCTTTTTTTGTGCGACACTTTCGTCTATTTTTTGAAATCATAAACATAATCAGGCTATAAAAATTGATATAAACAATCATTTCCTAAAAGACATTTAACCTCAAAATTTACTGAACAAAAATTTTTTTCCAGGGTTATCTTACAATGTATTCCATTTCTAACTTCCTAATTTTCAAAAATTAATATGTTGCTTTTACAGATACAGTAGGATTTATAATTCATAGTTTGATATTAGTGTAAAATTTTATCTAATTATTATTAGAATTTTTAGGAATAACAGGCAATGTGGGCAGCGGTCTCGGAATAAATTTTATTCTCCAAATAAATATAAACCACCGTGAAATTAGCTAATTAAATAAATACATTTAATTAAATTTATTCCCCGACACCTATTTCTTAAATAATACTGAAATGCATATATAATATACCATGAAATTACCTGTTTTTTAATCTATAATCTTTCACTTGGTAAGGGGAAAGAAACCTATAAAACACCTATTAACCTGAATTCTAATATAGCAAAAGCTCCTTCCGGAGTTGGTCATAATGGTTCACATTAAATGGTGGATGTGTGTCATTATAAAGCTTTGTATAAAATGTTTTGAACGTCTTCATAAAAGACTTTTGAAAAATGACATAAGGTAGCAAGGTTTTTTCCGCAAATTTAATAAGTATATCTGTCCTAACCCCCCTCTTCATCACTCAACTTTTCGATTTCAAACTGAGTTATGAAGCCTAATTTAATTATACCTAATTTTAGTGGTTATTAAAATTTTGTACCTAAAAAATCAAATTGTTCTGAACAAACCCATATGATTTTGTTCAGTAAATCTTTATTATAACTGATATTTTTTGTGTAGAATTTCTTTAATTATAACTATTTTTAATAATTATACAAACTATTGAATCTGGACTATTTTTTATTATAACACATTTATTTTTGACATTCGTTTAATTATAACTTTTTTGTGTTTATAAAAACTATAGATTTTGAACTTAAAAATCAAATTGTCAGTCAACGCAGCTTTATGAGCTGAAGACGAATTTTAGCTTTTTTAATATACCTTAAAAATAGGTTTGACATTTTAACTTTTTTAATATACAGGACAAAATCCTTAAAATTTTAACTTTTATATTAAACTGGCCCATATAATACAAATTTTAAAAAAAATTCGAAATGCCTTGAAATGATTTGCTTTTTGATACTAGCCCGAAAAAAGGAGAAAGTTTTTAAAAAGTTAGCTTTTTTAAATATACAAACAGGACAAATCCTTGAAATATTTGCTTTTTAAACTAGTTTCAAAAACAAGTTAAAATACCTTACAAAAGTGTGTTGTGCACTGAGCAGGCCCATATAATAGTCAAAAGAATTTCTTTTACTATATTTGTTGTTATTTCGCAAGTCTAGCTGGCCTCTCTTACGTGTGTATTGATACCAAGGCTCTAGCACATAAAATATGATTTTTACGGGAACAATGAAGAAGGCAGCAATAACCTAATACAATGATTTTGTGTTTTTTACTTATGGAAAATACTGATAGTTATCTAATCTGCAGTAGTACTTAAATTAAGTAATGTAAGTGCATTCGCAGGCGCAAATATCGATATTGACGTCGAAATCGAATATTTTATTAAGATGATCGAGGTGTTAATTTATTGATCGATTTTGCAATGTAATTAATACACAAAATTCCAATATAGTCAGGATTAAATCGATGGATCGATTTACAAGGTAACAAGAAAATTTCGAAACTATCGCGCAACAGCGATTTCTCTACCACCATCCACAGCAATACAACAATCAGCGAGTAATCGATGTCTTGTTAGCGCCTAATTTACAAAAAAACCGGCAATTTATTATAGGAGGAGCGTGAATCGTTTCAGTCAACATTGCCTCATTGTGAACTTCATCGGTAATTTTTCATTCGCGTGAAGCATGTTTTTTTAAAAATTCTCCGGTACTTGCATGGGTGCATGCACCCATTAAGATTCCGGCAAATTTGTCATAATAGCAGCTATGATGTTCGGTTTGGAACTCAATTAAACGATTAACATAAAATTCACATAATTCTTCTCGACAAATATTCCAATTAATGCACGTGATTCCAACGCGTTTCAAAATAGTTCTGACCGACCTGATTGGAGATAAATGGAAGAAAAGCGAATTTTCGCTTTCCGCGGTCGTGGGTAATTTTCAAGTGGCCCCCTCCTGTTCACTCCATATCGTACATATGACTTTTGTTAGACAAGGACAGCTATACATAATGGATAAATGTTTCGAAAAGTTCACACTTTACTGGTCGACTATCAAGAAATCAGTTCATCACACGGTACTATCGTGTGTGTTCTCGTCAAAAAGCATGAAGGATAATAGAGTACGAAGCCGCACCTTAAAACTCGCCCTTCATTGTAATCGAAACTCGATCGATTTGTAACGACTGCCCCGAGTGTGTTTGGTGGAAGTTGTTAATTTGAGAAACAAGTGGATAATCACTATATTAAACGGCGGATAGCACCACTAAACTTACATTGTTATTAATACAGTTTACGTGATTTGCATTTAAAGGTAAGTGGAGAAGTGCACATCTGAACGCATTTGATTAGTGTTCTTTGTAGATGATGTCCAAAAAGCAGTGGTTTGTGGTACTGTGCATTTTCATCGTCTATCTCCTGTTGGGGGCTGCGATCTTCCATATTATTGAATCCGATGAAGAAAGGGAAAGAAATCTCATCGACTTACGTCTCAGGGATGACTTGAGCGGTAATATTTACAGTCAAAATCTTTATCCTCGCCACTGAATAAAAAATTGCAGATAAAATTGACAAGTTATTTGACAAATTTGACAAAAACGTGGTCAATGAGAGGAAATTTCGAGACCAGTTACAAGATTATTGTGGTAAATCGTTCCGCAAGAATGGCGAGCCTCCACGGGAAGTCTGGGACTACTATCATTCCGTATTCTTTGTCATTACCGTCGTTAGTACCATCGGATACGGAAACTTGGCACCGACGACTATGTTTACACGCATCTTCATGATCTTCTACGGACTTATAGGAATACCAATGAATGGTATAGTTATGGTAACGCTCGGAACATTCTTCGGGCGATCGGTTAGTATAACTCCATAATTAAAAATCCTAGACTCACTATAGTTTTCTTCTAGTTTACAAAACTTTATCAACGTTGGAAAACTTCTAAAATGCAGTACGACACCACACGATTAGGTCTAATCAGTCAAATCGTACTCTATTTGGTCCCTGGTTTCACCTTCTTCATTTTCCTTCCATCATCCTTTATGGTTTTATTCGAAAACTGGGAACTCGACGTAGCTGTTTACTATTGTTTTGTTACACTAACTACAATAGGTTTCGGCGACTACGTTGCAGGTACACATGAAAAACAAACTAATTTGCATACATTAATTTATTTATTTTGCAGGCGTCGAAAACGTTAATGACTTCCAACCAGTTTACTACTGGATGTACAAAGTTTTTTTACTAGTTTGGGTGATCGGAGGTCTTGGATACGTAGTTATGATCCTTGGATTCATAACACAAGCTTTACAAAGCAAAAAAATGCAGGCCATCGAGCAAATCATAAAGCAGAATATCAAGAAAACGCCTGTACGCATTCGTGAAGAACTTCGTGGTTTGCTGCAAGAATTCCTCTTTATGAAAGTTAAACGCGTCTACAAAGGAGAATTTGACTACATTCCTTCACGTCTTGAGAGGAGTCAAAGCTGTCCAGACCTGAACATTTACCGCAATAATAATTCTCCAACAACAGCAAGAAAACGTGCCTTATCTGAGTGCCCTCACCACTTCATGTTCCAACCCATACAATCGGATACAAATCTAGATTATCAGACAGATCGAGATTCTTACCAAGCTTCTGATGAGTACATGCAACAAAGTGATCTCTTGATGAAAGTTGTGGATGCACTTAGTATACTGGACGATCAAAACGACTTAGGTGACAGCAGGGGCTATGACGGAATTTCAGAAACGGACATCTTGGCAAGCGAAAGGTACGGTAGTAAATGGTCTCTAAAGAGCCAGAATTTGTCTCCACCCAAACCAAAAGTTCCGAGAAGACGTGCAGTTAGTGATATTAGAGTTCCATCAATGCACAAAGTAGAAGCTCATCAAGATGTCAGCTGGTACGCTCCAAACCCCCCAGACAACTATCAGTCATTCCTCGAAAGACAGCGCACCTTCTCGGTGCCGTCTTCAGAAACAGAGAAACCCCCACCAAACTTTATAACTCGTATCAAAAACAAGTTTATCTCAACCAAAGACGACAAGCATTTGGACGTTGAGCAGAACACACGAAGATCCAGCATCTTTACTCCAGCTGAAGACCGCTATCTTCGTCAGACTAACAGAGGGCGAGCTTCAGTTTTATCCGTTCAGCAACAAGAAGCTGTGTTGGAACAGACCTCGATTGCTGATCTAATTAGAGCATTTGCTGCTCTAACAGTTCCTGAGACAATGTTACCAAACTCTGAAAGTCCTAAGCGAAAATTAGGAACTGCAGGTTTAACTCCTCCAAAAACCTCTCCACCCAGAATGAGAAGAGTGGGTATTCGACCGAACTTGCAGACTCGTAGGACTTCTTTGATGCCTGATTCTCACGTTGTGCAAAATGAAAGGAGAAGGTTGTCATTAAGGCCAGTGGAGGAGAATTTGTTGGCACCTCCACCATATTCAGCAAGAGAAGCTGACGAAGTAAATCGTCCTACGAGAAGATTCTCGAGGATTTTGAATGTGCCCAGTATCAGTATTAGTCCTGTGCAAAGACAGGTGAATAAAAGAGAGAATAAAGACGAATCGTGAATCGTGACCTCCACCGGGTCTATAAAGTATTAAAAAATGTTGAGTGCTCAAACTCTTATTGCTGTGATTAGAAGTGTTTGTTGTCCTATCTTTGTTTATATTGAATTTTAATAAAAATTATTTATTGTTTTAACTGTTGCGTTATATAAAATGGGTTATCATTCACGTGTTATTGAACAGATAACTGAGAAGTTGTTGTGTGGTTTTATAGAGAGTAATTTTTTATTTATGAATATTTATAGATCTTTTTAGATAATTAATCCAGTTCATAGCAACAAACATAACCAACGCCAACGCTAAAAAAAGTAAACTCCTTAAGTACTATGTATTTATCAGCTTGACTTAAAGTTTAGGAAACTTTTAAATGAAAAAAGGTTGAAATAACTCTTAAACATAACTACTTCTATGACTAAATTGAATTATTTTATTGCAACCCGGTTTTTGTATGTTAAACCTAATCTAAAGAGCTTGCAAAAGCCATGGGTGTGACAACTTTTTCTGTTCCATATTCGAAGGAAGAAATTTTTCTAAAATTTTACAAAATTATGGAAACATGAGAGGAACTCCTAATGTTTACTTCCCGAGCATAACCTAAAGAAGTGATAGGGTCCATCCAGCGAATGCCTAATTTCATGTTCTCCCTACGTTTCATAATCCAACAATATAAAAAATAGGTCCCTCGTTTCTGTTCAATAAACTCTGAAACTATCAAATTGATAGTTGTGAAATGCTTCATATATTTTAGGAATATCGTGTAGATGGTAAAACGCTAACCAAAATTTACTTCAAAAATTTTTGTTTAAGAATCCATCATTATATTTATACAATTTAACTTATAAACTACATAACGGAATACTCTGAAATCTTGCAAACATTTTAAGGTTATCGTCGGTATGGTAAATCGCTAATCAAAATTTATCTCAAAATTTTGTTGCATAAATCTTATCTAAGATATCCAAAATATTGTGAGTCTGTCCTTGTGGTTTATCAATACATACATATTAGTTTAGAATTGCTTATACAGGGTGACAGAAAAAAATTAATGAATGAAGCAGTTTCTTTCACTGACTAAATCAAAAATGAAATACTTATGCACTTTATGATTTTGAAATTTTGGCAATATAGTACTGAGCTTCAATAACAAAAACATGTCCAAAAGAAGTTATACAAATCATGAATGGATACTAAACGAAACAAAAAAAAATAGTAGTCTTACTTAAACAGTACCTAATATTAAAATGTATAGTAGTCATGTCGAAGAAACAAAAATGAATTTTTCAAGACACTTGTCACATTATCATTGATAATTTGTACTAGGATAAGGCTGATGCAACCTTTCGACAATATTTCATTTTTATCAACACTTAATTACGATCAGATATTCAATTTTTGATATTGGAAGCTTTCGCATATTTTCAGTTTTATCGGATTTTTGGGCAAATTTCTGCCACAAATATATAGAATTTCGAGAAAATTTGATAAAAAATTGTTGTTTTTTGTGCCGTTTAATTAGAAATTTCAAAATTTATTCTCGAAAAAACATTTCTTTATCGCGACGAAATGAAGAGGTGCTCTTATGCTTTAGGTTTTATATTTTTCTTATAGCTCAAATTTAATGTGTTGATGATCTTCTGGTTATTATGAAATGAAAAAGAAAAAAATCATTAAAAGGAATAAATTTTTCATCTAGTAAAAATTTAGTGACATTCGAGTATTAGAATAGTGAAACAGAGAATATTATTATTATGTTATTAATATATTAAAGCGTTCGGGCAGAAAGAAAGTCTGATATGCTAGCCCCATATCACGTAAGGGAAAGTAATGTGCGTCGTACACTTGACTCGAATATCAGTGTCGATTCAAATAGGACAGTGTCTTTGGGTAGTCTACTTGTGTCTACTCATCCAAAGCCCCATTAATTGTAAATTTCTGCCTGAGATAGTGCGAAATTTGACCTTACTGAGTTTTACAAGATGGTTCCTTGTACGTATAATGAGAGGAAACAGGTGTCTGTCTAATTGAGAAGTCAATTTTATGCAAAGCTTGAAAGATAGTAAAGAGATCACCTCTCTTTCGCCTCTCAAAAGGAAAACAAAGATTCATCCATACAAGTCTTTTATAGTATGGTGGCCGATTTCTGCTGTATGGAATTGTAGTTGTCCGCCTTTGGAACGATTCCAGACATATTATATGTTACTGTAGTACTGAAGAGCAAACACAATTTAAATTTAAACAGAAGCCTCATAAAGGTTTTACATAATTTTGAAAATACTACAGGAGTTGTCTTAGTAACTTTTACTTAGAAGAAACGGTATTTTGGTTACCTTCTTCGTCACACACACGACTTAGTTTGACCACGATAAATCGCTGTTAATGATAACACCTAGAGTGAACGTAAAATTCTGTACTGAACAACCTAATAGTGCCCATAAAATATATGGATGTCTAGAGTTTTTATTACCAATATATAAAATAGTACACTTATCTAAGTTTAACGGAAGTTACATGTCTCTGGACCAGTTATAAATGGCATGAATATCTTGCCTTAAATTCGGAAAATTACTGCCTTTGTCGTACGTCTTAATGTTATCACGTATAGCAAATGACCATATGAGCATATGTTTTAGCTCGGCAATGAAAAGTAATGGACCAAGTACTGAGTAACTCATAATATTAGTGGTTTTACAAAATGAAGAAGCTTATGTAGAAGACGATGCTTTGTAAGTTTATGAAATGCTTGGGAAAAATCGAGATAGATGATATCAAGAGTCCAGTCAGATAAACAACAAAGAGGATTTGACTGAACCGATTTCCCATGCAAAAACCCATGCTGTTTCGGTAGGATAAGATACTGATCTAACAAGAACTTACACATTTGGTTATAAATTATAGACTCCATGACTTTAACTACAGTACAGAACACAAGAACCACATCACTTTCAGGCAAATCAGTACAAGGACACTTGAGAACGTATCGGCGAAGACGTCGGCAAATATATGGCTATTGTCCACTATATTGCCAGAGTTATTTCTAGGCTACAAAGACCCACCAAGACCCAACAAGTCCTTAGACTCAGCAATTCGCGTTTCATATGCAGTTCTTGTCGCCCTCATAGTTGCCGTAAGTTGATTCGAAAACGTTCTATGGGCTACATTAAAATTTTGCTCTCAATCCAAGGTTTCTTTGACGACCTTTTACTTGTTACAGTGTTAGTATATTCGGCGACCTTATCATGAATAGTACTTTTAAATGCATTTCAATCATCACTGACTGCATGCTTAGAAAATATAGTTTCCCAATCAAGTTCGATTAAATTGTGACCTAAAGATTTAAAGTCTATACACGTCCTCCTAATTCAAACGGTTCTAATGTAAGGTTTAAAACTAATCTGTAGGTCAATTTTTAAGGTAACGTGATCTGACTTACCATGGGCTTAAATAACCAAAATTTACAATTGAGTTGTCGACTACAGAGATTATTATTAAATCAAGTAAAAAGGGAGTTTGATTTGATATGTACTTCGTAGATTTCAACACCACGAGTATTGTAGGACTGACAAGAGTCTAGGGGTCTTAAAATATCAGGCATAGTAAAGTCGCTAAAGATAAAAGATTTCTCGTTTATGGTAGCTATTCGTAATGTTCGCGATAGAATCAACTAAAATTTTGTCGTCATCGATTTGAGATGAAGGAGACATACACAACCCAAAACGAAAATAATATACTTAGTAGATAATGTGAGAAACAAGGCCTGAATACCACATTAACCGATCGATGGCGGAATGGCCTGAAAATTTGACAATACATAACTGAACATTATATTCAAACGCCACCTCTTTTTAATCAACACGAACATGTCGAAAACATTATACTTTCATACATTTCTAAAAAAAAAAAATCAACAACTTCAGTTAGGAGGCGGTTATCTAGTTTTTTAATAGCAGGTTTATCGTGTGGTGAAGATAAATCAATAATAATTATATCGACGCTATTATTCGTTTGACAATCTTTGCTTGAATCACTGTCAATTACATTAGTTTCGAGATTCTTTCCTTTTTTAATTGTTCGTTGTACTTTCCCTTAGATTAGATATAATTATGTAATAAAATGAACAGTACACCCCATTGACATCGTTAGCATAAGTATACGTATCGTCGTATCAAGCTCAAAATGTTCCTTTCACCCATAGCTTTATTCATAAATTCTACAATCTCGTCGTAACTTAAGTGGGTACTGATCTGTGTTATTCAATACCTTTAATTGGAAGAAGTGAATCTGATCTTGATGAATTTTGCAAGAATTCGTTTTTGCCTTTTTCAGTTCGTGGCTGTTATCTTTAGTAGAATTTCCTGTTAAATGGAGCGGCGAAATCTCATGACATAAATCGTCGATACAAACATTGTTTTTGCCCAGAAACAGCTGCTAATGTTACTATAGGTATGTAAGAGAAATTTGAGGTCTGCTGACTCTGTGCCGTCTGATTTTGGACAATCATTTGCAAAGTGTCCAGTCGTTTTGTACTTAAAACAAACATCATCAAGAGAGAGAAAAATGTGATCATTAGTTTTATTGTATTTATATTGTCACATCTGTCTACGAAAACTAAGAATGTGCGCATAGTCAATATTTTGCATTCTCTCCGTTAGAAAGAACATCGCTGATCCAGTTAATTAATCGACCCACAGTCACATCTGTGTCTTCAAATTTAATCATGGCATGGTGTGCTCTACAATTATTCTATCAACTAATTCTTTAGAACTAAGGCTATTGCAGTAGCGACCTTAAGATATTTTGAAGGCAAATCGAAATTTTTTTTGGGATAACAATATTATCTATTGCTAATAAATTTGCACCGCAATAAGAACTATTGCACATATAGAATGTGTAAAATGTTTGCAAAAATCAAAACACAAAAAAACAACCTAGAGAGAACATTACGGCTTTGCCTAAGTGGCGTGAAAAGGATCCAGTTAAAACAAAATACTCTGTAAATATTTAGTCCAGAGCAAAAAAATATATATAAAACACAGCAAATGAAGTATTAAAGATACACTTAATACTTAATATACCTTTCAAAACCCGGATGCTCTCAATCACCAAATGTGTGCGTCACTCACTTTGATTATTATTTAT